CAAAGCCGATCTCTCTCAGCTTCAGCTGACAATTCTCTTGGACTATTTAAGTCCTTGTCACCATCTAAGGTTTTGAACAAATTATTCAGTTCATGTTTTTTTTTACCCCAATAGTGGTCTTTAGGTTGGAAATGTCTCCTAGCAATCTTTCAAAGTCATTAGGAATCTGCAATCCACTCTCCTAATTAGTACATTTTGGGGTCTAATTTTTTGTAGACCTATATTATAGCCTAATTAATTAATAGAATCTCCTCTTTGTATTTTTTCAGGAACAATTTGTAATCTCCAATAAGACAAAATTTTCTTTACTTCTTCAAACATTCTTTGAATAAGCTAGTAAAATGTTGTCCATGTAAATGTAAACTATAGATTGAAGAAATTGCTTATGTATTACTTTCAACAGCTGTCATACAAAATACTGTCACAGGGTCGCTCTTTTGGGGACCAACTGGCACCAAGCTCCACAATAAATCACACACAAAGGCTTATTCTTAATTGTAAATGCCCTGCTTTAGCTTGGCTTGTTTCTAGCCAGCTTTTCTTAGCTTTAAATTATCCCTTCTACCTTTTGTCTCTGGGCCTTTTCCTTTTCTTGCTTCTGTAATCTTACTTTCACTCTTACTCCATGGTTGGCTCTGTAGAGGGGTGGCTGTCCCCTAGCATCTTCCACCCCTTTTCTCCTCTCCTGTTCTTTTTTTCTTCTTCTATTTATCCTCTCTCCCGCCAGCCTTGCTTATCCTTTCTCCTGCCTTGCTATTGGCTGTTCAGCTCTTTATTAGACCATCAGGTGTTTTAGACAGTCAAAATAACACAGCTTCATAGAGTTAAATAAATGTAACATAAACAAAAGTAACACACCTTAAAATAATACTCTCCAACAATAGTGTGATTGTTTCTTGGGAAAATCCCACTCCTTACTGGGCAACTTACTTTCAGATCATAATGAAGATGATTTTTATAAAAGCAATGATGCTTAGTTAGATCAATGATTTGACTGAATGTTCTGAGCCAGCCTAAAAGATACATATGACTAAGACAGGTAGTGAAGAATATTAGGGAAATAGTTTGGGTTATTCAGTCAATTGATCCAATAAGAGACACACACACACACACACACACACACATGACAAAAATAGGCTAGAAGTCACCTTCCCCTTGGTTAGATGCAAGATTTGCAGAGGATGGAACCTGAAAACAAGGAAGTCTCATGCATTATAGACCCATGTATCCTCCATGTGGAAAAACTGGCTGATGGTTAAAGAAAGCAATTGTGTTTCTACACATTAGGTTAGGTCTGAGTACCTCAGTCATGTAGCTTACAGAATTAATCACAGGCCCTGGTACATAGCTTGAAAATGCAAAGTTGTGAAAGGAAATTGAATGGCCCTATTGTATGTAAACAAAAATAGATGATTAGCTGAACACAGGAATTAAGTTTTGTAGGTATCTGCTACACTGAAATTGCAAGCAGCTGCCTGCTAGTACAAAAAGAACTGGCTGAAATATACTTGGCTTCCTTAAAACTTTGTTAACCAATTATAAAAGAATCATTGCTTTGAGGTAGAAATGTTATGGAGGAAATATTAACACTACAAAAATATTTAACTACTCGTGGGCTCTAAGGAAAACATTTAATTTGTGATCATACTGTGATTTCTCTATGTGTAAAGACTTTAATTTGTTTTCAGAAAATATATAACTTGTGGTTGTGAGGTAATCTTTTCTTTTTATGTTCTTTTTTTCATTTTTCTTTATTAAGAAATTTTCTACTCACTCTATGTCAGGAGCCAAGTAGCCTAACTGATTCTCATGGGAAAAAGCTGTGTACCTAGCCTTCTGTTAACAGTTTCAATAGCAACCATTTTTCAACAAGACCACAGTATGTACCTTTTGATCAACTTCTTGAAACATAATGGTTTGCTGTATGGTCCGTTGATCAGGCCCTGGAACAAAGAGACCTTTTCCTGAACCCTACCTTACCCTAACTTCCTCCTAGTAACTTTCCATACCCCTATCTACTTCTCCTAGCCCCTAGCATATATAAGCCTGACTCCCCTTGCAATAAACGAGACCTTGACGTGACTCAGACTGACTTTGTCTTCTTTTATGCGCCTGGTCTCCTTTCTCTCTCGCCCCCATTGATCTTTCAGGAGGTGCCTCCTCGGGTCTCATCAAATAACCTGGCCCGCGGGACGGGTCAAGTGGTGCCCGAACATGGGGCTCGAGGCACGGTGACCTGCCGGACGACGGATAACAGAAGGGGCCCCGGAGAGGATCAGGGTAGAGACGCCTGGACCGCATCACTCGTGCAACGCGGGAGAGTCTTGAGATAAGTGTGTCGTCCCATCGATCATGGGCAAAAATTTATTTAAAGAGGCTATTTTTCTAAAGGAGATGAAAGGAAATCTTAGGGAGAGAGGAATAAGAGTTAAAAAAAAAAAAGGATTTAATAAAATTTTTCCAATATGTGGAGGAGAAATGCCCCTGGTTAGTGATTAATGGACCAGGAATTCACCCTCTGACTTGGAACAAGGTTGGAAAAGATATTAACAAATTAATCAGAAATGGGAAAATGTCCCGATGCCGTTTTTAGTTTTTATGGTGTGATTAGAGATGTTCTAAAGGAAGCAGAGGGAGATGGGCATGTTTCACATTTACTAGCCCTTGCAGAGGATTTTCTCTCAAACTCCCCCTGCCTGACACCCAAGGGTCCAGAGGTTTATTGACATCTACCGGTAAGAGCGCTCTCTGTCTTGTCTGTGTCTCTCTGTCTTACTTTTGTTTTGTACTTTGCAGGCTTAATTTGTACTTTGCAGGCTCACTGGGACAGACGTGTCCGGACAGTGAACCTGGTGGCGAAGGGAGACGTCCCAGAGCCATAAGGCCACCTCAGAGGTGACCATTTGGTTTAGGAGCATCTTTGGGTATCTTCCCCCACGGTGGGAGGAAGTGCCACTTTGTATTTTGTCCCGGGAAATTGTCAGAGCCATTTTGTGGGGTTTTTTTTGTATGTTTTGTTGTGATCATTGTTACTTTACTCTCTCCTTCTCTTCCAAGAAAAAAAGGTGCATGTCTGACTGACAGGGATGTGGAAGCCCCTGATGTCTGTTTGATTAAGGACAGAGATCCTCGAGTCTGGATTGTTTTTGATGTGATTGAGCCTGGAGGGTTACCCCCTCACCCAGAGCACATCAGGCTGTCATTGTTCTTGGAGCTTTGTTGGTTGTTTTGTTGGGGCAAAGTTTTTTTGTGTGCCCTTGGTCTTGTGTGTAATGTATTAACTGTTCTCATTGTTGACTTGACTGTGACGGCTATGGGACAGTTCCCTTCTTCTCCACTAGACCTTTGCCTAGCCCACTGGAAGGATGTGTGAGCCACAATAAAGGGAACTGGGTCCCCCACCCCCACTCCCCAATTGAACTGAGATAAACAGGTAGCTCCTGCCAGGTGGGGCTTGCATACTGTAAGAGGGACTTGCTGGCTGTGAATGAAGCTGTCCTCTCAGTGCTGATGTTTCGGTTCTTGGATTGTCTGTGTAAATGTTATTTGTTTCTGTCTGCTAACCTCCCTTATTTTCCTAAAGGAAGAGGAGGAAAGAGAGGTATAACAAAGGCCACCTCCGTCCCTCCCTAGCTCTCTTGCTATCAGGACTGGCTGCAGCTGGCTGCTCTCATGAGGGTGGGGGTGCGTGCTCTCCTTACAGGCGGGCAAAGACAGGAGCTCTGGACAGGGCAATGGGGACTGCCTGCAATTGACAAAAACTGTGTGAACACTGAGCAGAGAATCTGACTTTAGTCAGAGGAGTTAACAAAAACTTTTTTTTCAGGAACACTAGCAGCCAAGGACAGGATCTATGCCCACTGCTCCCCCTCCCTTCCTTTACTGTGATAACTTTAAGGTCTCTTCTGCCGGCCAGCAGCTTCTCTTATTAACCCTTCTCTGTCCTGGTATTGCTTAAAAACAAATGTTAAATTGTCAGTTCAAGATACTGGGAAAATTATGCTTTTGTTTCCACAGGAAAAATAAAAATTTACATGGGTTTTGGTCATTTGAGTTCAATGGGTTACAAATACTTGCCATCATTTAAGAGAATTAGTTTCAAATTATTGTTGGTTAAGATAAAAAAATGTTTTAATAAAAAGGCTTAAATAATGATTTAAAAAAATGACTTGAGATATATAAAAAAAATGAAACATGTTTCAGATTTCTTTGTCTTGCTATTCTGCTGTTACATTGAGACTCCAAAGGGTCATAGTTGTAAAAATGTCTGTCTACTCTGCAGGTATGAATGAAAAATGTGGCCACATGTATGCTTGGTTTTGAATGTCTGAGTTTGCATGTCCTTTATGTTAAGGAATACAAGTTAATACTAGTCATCTGGCTATTCAGATACTAGTTTAAAGCATAAACTGCTCTATTTTAATAAAAAAACTGAGAGGTATATTTAACTAATATATCTATAAGAAAACAAATTGGCCTGGTTATTGTTACCAAACTTAGAGATATTTTCAAGATTGGGCCTAGATTTGTTTGGCTCAGATACATTTAATAGATAATGGTCCTCAAACCTGTCAAAGATCTGATGAATATGGCATTTACATTATTTGATAAAAAGCTTACTATAGCAAACAGAGACTCCAAGCTCCCCAGCTCCTAGCAATGATTCCCAAGGAATGGCCAATTCCCCTACGCTATGTCAAAAGTATGTAGCTCAGTCTATAGATCCAATGAGGGTCCAGTACCCTGAAGTTTATATTATACATTATATGGATGATTTGTTATTAGCAGGGGAATCTAAAGAAAAAAACACAAAATATAGCTCAAAAGATAATTACCACACTTCAGGACCGAGGATTTCATATAGCTCCAGAGAAGATACAAACCCAATACCCCTTCCTGTTTTTAGGGTTCGAGTTACACCCAGACCTCCTCTATACACAAAAAAATCCAGATTAGAAAAGATACACTTCGTTGTCTCAATGATTTTCAAAAACTTTTAGGGGATATCAATTGGCTGCGACCCTATTTAAAAATAACCAAGGGAGAAGTACGCCCCCTTGAGGATATCCTCAAAGGAGATTCTGACCCTCAATCTCCTAGATACCTTACGGTGGAGGCAGAGAGGGTATTACAAAAGGTTGAAACGGCCATCACTCAGCAACACACGGGATATTTTGACCCAACCCTCCCATTGTATTTGATCATTTTTTCTACAGATTTTTCCCCTACAGGCCTGCTCTGTCAAGAGCCCGTACCTTTACTGTGGGTACATCTTCCTGTTACTAAAAGAAAAATCCTTCCCACCTATCCTTCCCTGGTTTGCCAAGAGATAATGTTGGGAATAAAAGCCTCCACTTGATACTTTGGGCATGACCCTGATATTATTGTTATGCCATATGATAAAGAGCAACTTGAATGGTTATGTACCCGTAGTCCTGACTGGGCCATCCTTGTCTGCACCTATGAAGGAAAACTTGACACACAGATGCCCAGTAACAAGCTCCTACAATTCTTCTCCCTCACTTCCTTTGTTTTTCTTAAAAATACCCGAATGGAGCCCATCCCGGACTCCCCTGTGCTTTTCATAGATGGGTCAAGTAATGGTAAAGCTGCTTATGTCCTCAATGGCCAAAAGAACATTATGACAACTCCTTTCAAGTCAGCTCAGCTGGTGGAGCTATATGCTGTCCTTGCTGTCTTTAAAAATTTTGAAGATTGCTCCTTTAATTTGTATTTAGATAGTAGATATGTGGTAGGGGCTTTATAGGCTTTAGAAATGGTTCCAATAATCCAACCCATTACTCCCACCTTCCAAATGTTTTCTGAATTACAAAAATTAATCCGACAGAGGTCGCTACCCTTTTATGTTGGCCATATTCGTGCCCACACAGGCCTACCTGGACCCCTAGCTCAGGGGAATGAACTTGCCGATTCTGCTACACGTTCTATCTTGGTTTCTCACTTGGAACATGATCAGGTAGCAGCCGCTCGTGAGGCACACCGCCTTCATCACCTCAATGCTCAAACTCTGAGACTAAGGTTCTCAATTACTAGAGAACAGGCTAGGGAAATTGTAAAAAGCTGTAAAAATTGCCTGATGCCCTTACCCGAACCTCATTATGGAGTAAACCCCAGAGGACTTATACCTGGACAAATATGGCAGATGGATGCCACCCATGTTCCTTCTTTTGGCAAATTAAAGTTTATACATGTTACTGTAGATACCTTCAGTGGATTTATTTGTGCCTCCGCTTATAGTGGAGAAGCCACCAAAGATGTTATCAATCATATGTTACATGTCTTTACAGTGCTGGGTCAGCCAAAATGTATAAAAACTGATAATGGTCCAGGATATATTAGTAGCAAATTTAGACAATTTTGTTTACAATTAGGAATTAAATACATTACTGGAATATCCTATAACCCTCAAGGCCAGGATATCGTGGAGAGAGCTCACCAAACTTTAAAAAATACTCTTAATAAACTCAGCTCACAAGAGATACTATTTCCCCTTAAGGGAAACCACAAAGCTTTGCTTTCTCATGCCCTATTTGTATTAAATTTTCTGACATTGGATGTTTTTGGAAAATCTGCGGCTGAGCGACACTGGCACCCAGAAACCAAACAAGGATATGCACAGGCCCTTTGGAAGGATCCAATAACTGGAAAATGGGGTGGTCCTGATCCAGTTATAATCTGGGGAAAGGGGTCTGCATGTATTTATGACTCCAAGGAAAATGGGGCTCGTTGGCTACCAGAAAGACTGATTAAGGCTTACTCTGCACAGATTGTCTCCCTAGACTAAGGAAAAAATAACTGTTATGTCCAGGACACAACCCTGAGACAAAAATTCTCTCTTTTTCTTTCAGAAATGCCTCCGACTTGGAAAATAAAGGGAGCCACGGACATCTCAATGGCAGGACCTGTTCATCGCGGGCCTTGGAAAATCAACCCCTGTTTCATCATTTGCTTACTACTCTTCCCCCTTCCCCTCTCCTGCATCTCCAAGGAAAGCCCCCATACTATTAAAAAGCTTACCTGGCGAATTTTCACAGTAACGGGGGAGAAGGTCTGGAGGGTTACTGCAAACCATGCTCCCTATTCCTGGTGGCCGTCACTCACTCCTGACTTCTGTCAGCTGGCTGCAGGATTGGATTCTTGGGATATACCTACTATTGGCCAACACCAGTTAAATGGTACAGGAGGTCAAACGATTCCAAACTGCCATCAATCTCCTCGCAGTCCTAAAACCACTTGGACAAGCCCTTGTGGGACATTCCATGATAATGACCCTGCCATGATGACTGCCCCAGACTGTGTCAGTCCTACAGCTCGTTGTAGGTTAGCACAATCTGACTTTTATGTCTGCCCTAAGGATGGCAGAAGCCGAGCTACGGCTGCCAGATGTGGGGGATTTGAGACCTTCTTTTGTGCTCGATGGGGTTGTGAAACTACAGGGGCAGCTTACTGGGAACCAACTTCATCTTGGGACCTTATTTCAGTTACAAGGGGATACAGTAAACCTAGCACGGATAGACATTTTTGCTTTAGCTCCTATACTGGGAAAGCCCATAATCCTGGGCTATCATTACCTTTAAACATAACCTTCACCCCTCAGGGTAGGGCGAATCGAGAATGGCCCTCAGGAAAAACATGGGGACTCCGCTGGTATCTTGATGGCACAGATAAAGGAGTCATTTTAAAGATCTTGCTAACAATAGAAAACCTGTACCCAAAGCCAGTAGGAACCAACGTAGTTCTCTCTGACCAAAAAGTTCCCTCCAATCATGAAAAGGTGCCATCACCTCCTCCCCCCTCACCTCATCCTCGTCCATTTCCTTACCATACAAACACCGTGAGTACAGACTCCAGTAACGTAACTCTCCTTACTCCTTTTGGAGGAACAGGAGATAAATTGTTTAATTTGGTCCAGGGAGCTTATCTGGCCCTAAATGCCACAAATCCAAACCAAACCTTGGGTTGCTGGCTCTGCCTTACCTCCAGTCCCCCTTATTATGAAGGAATCGCCTTTCAGTCTGCTGCCAATAACCTTACTTCCCCAAGCAATAGGTGTCAGACTAAGCCACATAAACTAACACTCCCTGAAGTCTCCGGACAAGGTTCTTGTTTGGGCAAGATTCCATCGACCCATAGTCACCTCTGTAAACAAACTCTGACACCTTATAAAGGGAGCTATTATCTTGAAGCCCCCAACAGGTCCTACTGGGCCTGTAACACAGGATTGACCCCTTGCATATCTGCTCAGATATTTGATGATTCCCATGAATTTTGTGTGATGGTCCAGTTATGGCCTCATGTAACTTATTATCAAGAAAGCTCAGTGATGGAATTCTTTGAGCAGAGAGGCAGATACACTTGAGAACCTGTGTCTATGACTATTGCCCTATTGTTAGGTATTGGGGGCATTGCTGCAGGAATTGGTACAGGAACTACTGCCCTCGTGCAGAACCACCACCTTATGCAGTTACAAATGGCTATGACTACTGATCTAGAGGCCATAGAAAGATCCATTTCTGCTCTGGAGAAGTCTTTAACCTCGCTCTCTGAGGTTGTGTTACAAAACAGAAGAGGTCTGGATTTACTATTTTTAAAGGAGGGGGGATTGTGTGCAGCCTTGAAGGAAGAATGCTGCTTTTATGCAGATCACACTGGGGTAGTCAGAGAATCAATGGATAAACTAAGAGAAAGATTAGCACAAAGAAAACGTGATTTTGAAAATCAAAACAATTGGTTTGGGGGTTGGCTAAAGGGGTCCCCTTGGCTTTCTACTCTGATTCCCACCCTCCTGGCCCCCTTGATCATTTTCCTTCTCCTCCTCACCTTTGGTCCTTGGGCTTTTCAACGACTAACACAATTCATCAAAAATCAGATTGATTCGGCCTTATCAAAAACTGTTTCAGTACACTACCATCGGATAGAAACTCATGAGGAAACTATCGGAACAGGTGAAAGGCTCAGGTTCAGCGGCCTATGAACCTAAAAACCCCCCACAACTAAAGGCTAGAGGGTACTCAATGACGGGAATAGTATGGGGCCTGTGCTGGGAGCACAACGTACAGAGGTCGCCAGAGACCGGCTCAACATGGCACGTTGCCAGCCACAGGATGCACTCCATATAGCCTAAGACAGGGGCCCTCTCGATTTATGACCAAAGCCTGCTTTGGCCATTTTATAGAAAGAAGGGGGAATTGTCAGGAGCCAAGTAGCCTAACTGATTCTCATGGGAAAAAGCTGTGTACCTAGCCTTCTGTTAACAGTTTCAATAGCAACCATTTTTCAACAAGACCACAGTATGTACCTTTTGATCAACTTCTTGAAACATAATGGTTTGCTGTATGGTCCGTTGATCAGGCCCTGGAACAAAGAGACCTTTTCCTGAACCCTACCTTACCCTAACTTCCTCCTAGTAACTTTCCATACCCCTATCTACTTCTCCTAGCCCCTAGCATATATAAGCCTGACTCCCCTTGCAATAAACGAGACCTTGACATGACTCAGACTGACTTTGTCTTCTTTTATGCGCCTGGTCTCCTTTCTCTCTCGCCCCCATTGATCTTTCAGGAGGTGCCTCCTCGGGTCTCATCAAATAACCTGGCCTGCGGGACGGGTCAACTCTACATACCACTCACAGATCCCACCTCCTCCCTCCTCCCACCCCCCAGCCCTCTCTCCCAAGCCAACTCACATCCCCATATCCCCCACATCAAGGTCTTCCTGGGGAGTCAGGAAAGCCCAGCACACTGAGCCTAGGCATGTTCAAGTCCTTTCCCACTGTACCAAGGCTGCGCAAGGCATCACACCACAGGCACCAGATTCCCAAAAGCCTGCCCATGCACCAGGGACAGATCCCGATTCGCCTGTCTGGGTGCCCCCCCCAAACAGTTCGAGCCAAACAACCATCTTCCGTATCCAGAGGGCCTAGTCTAGTCCCATGGGGACTCCACAGCCACTAGTCTACAGTTCATGGGCTTCCACTAGTGTGGCCGATCATCTCTGCACATCTTTCCATCATGATCTCGATGTCCCCCACCTGCAGAATCCCTCCTCTCTCTCATCAATTGGATTCCTGGAGCTCAGCCTAGTGCCTGGCCATGGATCTCTGCATCTATCTGCCTCCATCAGTCACTGGACAAAGGCTTTATGATGACATCTAGGTTATTCTCTAGACTGGTCACCAGAGTAGACCAGTCCAGACACCCTCTGGGCCACTGTCAGCAGACCAAGGTGGGATCATCATTGTGGATTCCTGAGAGCCTCCCCAGCACCCTGCCTTTTCCTATTCCCATGATGTCCTCATCTATCATGGTATCTC